AATTCAATCATTTCTTCAATTAGAACGTTATAATGGTATTCAATTAGTTCAAACAATTCATGAAAATTTAGCTTCATTATCAAAAGTTATTCGAGGAATTAGCTTAATTACAAATGAAGTACAAGAATATGCTAAAGACTTACTTCAAAATGAGGTAAATATACAAGCAAAAAAGAAAAAGAATATCCATGTAGCACATTTGTTTCGTAGTACTGTCAGTAGTGCTGGCGGTTCTAGCTGTAAACGATTACAGAGTGTTTTCTATCCAAATTTGAATTATTTATTAGAAAGAATTCAAATTAATCGAGAAGAAAATCATTCCGGAATATATTTTACTAATAAAAATTTATTTCATAACTGGGACCAGTACAGGTCAACATAATCAAAGTACATCGAAATCGACTCAATTCCATCAGTTTTAACAGACTTTAAAAATATTTACCCGTTTTGATACAATACACCATGATACAACATTTTCAAAAAAAAAACTTGTGTTTATAGCATATATTATATCGATCGGTAGGTTTTGCGGTAGTTATCACATGGGTTGTTTTGTTTTGAAAATTCGGTGTATTTGCGATGATATAGTTCTCGATAGTTCTATAGAACCTTACAAAATTTGTAAGCGCATTTTCAATATATGTAAATCCGTTAATGATTAAGCTTCATCCAATACTTGTTTGTTTTTTAATCTGAAAGAGGAGAGTTAGAAGTTTGTATTTCTTATGTGATTCGAATCGAATAAAAACCGTCGGTAGATCGTTTGGTATAATGTGCGCTATACAAGTGGTATTCGACGTTATTTTGATACTTAAATGATTGGCTATCTCTAACCGACAACCAGGGATGAGGTGCATCTCCTCACTTTTACAAAATTTTCAGTTTTTTCCAGTCAAAATCATATTTTTTGGAACTAATGTATATTTTCGAAGAAAATAGTGATTGTAAGTTTACATCGAGATTTTTGTAGTTTCTCTCCCAAGGTCCTAGTAACTGAAGGTGAGGGAAGGAAAGCCAAAGATCATTGGGTATTTTTCTCAAGCAAAGGGAAAAGGCGCATCAGTAATAATAGTGCTTGGATCATTCTAGAAGTCTGTAGATTCTAATTAATCTAAATTCTAAGTTTAGACAAAGCTCAACAGTATATGTCGAAGTTCGTCGAGAGAAAGGAGACTAACCAATGTGTATAGCAGATTAATATGGTGTTTGAACCGACAAAGCAAAGAATAAAATAATATTTGCCGCTTCTTATGACATGTATCGTGTATATTATCATTAAGAGAAACGATGTTAAATGAATCTAATATATTGGTAGAATAGTAATTCTAAATGCAAACAATTTCGAAATGATAAAACTTCAGAGTGCACCTATTCAACTATAAAAATTCTTATAATTATGATTTATTCTTTCATTTAGTGTTTTTTCAAATAAATTATTTTAATCTTTCTCACGATATATCATAAATTATAAAAGTTAGAGTTTGTGAGTTCCACACTTTGGCCATCATGAAGCTACACTGACAAGTATTTTTGTTAAAAAAAAAAGATCGTACAATGAAAAAAGAAAATTCAACATCTGCTCTCCAGTTTTTTTTGTTCGCCACATTCTTGTCGGCAACCTATTGCCATTATACCGTTGGTTCTTATGAGTGTCAGAGTATACTGGTAATAGTGCGAACAAATGTGAAACGTAGATCACTAAGACAAAGTTGTTTAATACTTTTGACAGACTATCATTTCTGTCTGTTCTATAAAAATTTTCCATTTTTCTATTTTCATTTAAAAAAAAGAGTCTTTTAATAGTTTTTCCTATATTTTCTTTAATTTATCTTGTTATTATGGAACTGTGATCGTTAACATGGTTTCCTACTAGTTTTCTACGACAGTTTTTGAAAATATCGATTAATTGTATGAATAAGTGATTCCGTTGCCCGTATCTATGAATTTCCTACAGGATTCCACTGGAAAGACACCATTTCCTGTTAGAAAAATTTAGAAAAAAACCAGTAAGAACTTCGACACATAAATCCAGTAATCGAATCTAGTGACTGTTTTTGCCTGGTTAGGACCAATTTCAATTAGAACTAGGAAAATCTGACCATCGGATTTCTACTATTAAGTTACTACCGTTTTTCGTCCGAAACCGATCGTACTTCATTCGGCTAAGTAATATATTTTATCGAAATCAATATATTCTTTTCATAGAGAAACATTTGATGTTTCGTAAAATGGTGCTATTAAACTGTTTCATAATTGTCATTGTTACTAGACTTATATTTTTGCTACATTCGTTTCAAAAGAATATAAAAACAAAATGAATATTCATAAAGTACTCATGAGACTTGTTAATAATAATGATATAAACTGAAGAAAATATTTAAAAACAAAAGAGGGTTATATACTGCTGTATGACATCGAGCAGATATCGAAATTTTATATTATCAATTGAAATGATAGTATTTGAAAAGTATTTTTGAAACTTATTTTAAAGAATAAAAACTTACAATTCTTGTCTTTTAAATAAATTTATTAATAACAACATTATACAAATTCAATGTGTTTTCATAACGTTTACAATATACAATAGAAATTTGATTCTGTCATATAATAGCACTCTATTTTGGTTATTTAAATAACGATAAAATCTAGGATAGATAAACATGAAAGACTCGAGAATTCATCATCAGAAACATGTAGATACTAGAAAAAAAATCATTTTATAATAGAAAAAACATAGATAATATTCCTTGAAACTTCTTACACGAAGTATGATCTTATATGCTCTTTATTGCTCTCTTCAATAAACTTTACTAATAGAAGAGTTCCATTTCAATACAGAACAGATTTTGTTTCTGACTCTGATTAATTACATCTTTTCATTCGGTTGAAATGTTAATTAAATCAATTCTCCTCTGTAATATTATCTTTTAACATTCCATCTCTTCATCATAATACATATCTGATAGTGATATACATGTTTTCATGAGAATGCCAGAATATATCAATTATTTGTAATACAAGATTAGATATTATTTTGACTAATATCAAAACAAATATGATCGAATTTAATCAATTATTTGATATTTAATTGATTCATAAACAACGAAAAAAAAAAAATCTTTTGTTCATACAGTTTTATATTTGAAAATAAAAGAAATCATTTTCAAATGATTTAGACTCCACAAACATGGCAAAATCGTTGGGAAGGTCCAACTGATTCATTACAATATTTACGTGTTGTTGTATCAAAAGCAAAAGCAATGCAACAAATAATAATATCAATGAAAGATCAAGATCTATTTTCTCAAACAATTAATTTATCAGATCTTTTTCGTCCAGATACATTCTTAAATGCATTAAGACAACAAACAGCAAGAGCAACAAAACAACCTATGGATACATTAGTATTAAATACATCATGGTCTGGAGAAGTTAAACATGGAAAAAATATTTCAATTAAAATAACTGGTTTACAATTAGAAGGTTGTTTATTTGATGGTGGTCGTTTAAGTGAAAGTGCACCTGATTCACCAAGTGTTAATGCATTTCCATCATGTTATATCGCTTGGATACCTCTGGTAGTGTTGATGTTTTGTTTTTTATTTGATTTTTATATAATTTAAATTTTAGGATAATGCACAACAAGAAACACGTGAAATAATTTCATTACCAGTTTATTTTAGTTCAGATCGAGATAAAATAGTTACACGATTAAATGTTCCATGTGGTGGTAGTGATAAAGACAAATGGTTACAATGTGGAGCTGCACTTTTTCTTAAAAATATTTAAATATAAACTTTATATATTTGTCAATAAATTTTTCTCCTCTTTTTTTTTTTTTTGTTTTAATAAATAATATTAATGAAGAAAAAAAAAACCATTATCTTAATAAATGAGATTATATTGAACTCAATGAAGAAAGAAATTGAAAAGATTCAATTAGAGAAAAAAAAAGAAAAATCGTAATCGATTATGTCGGTATCTTCCCCTTTCATCAATATCTTCTTAATTAGCTCGTTTCATCATCGACACTTCTTTTTTCTGAATAATATCAGAATTTTATTAAAGAAATCTTACTTTGAAGAAAGCAATAAACAGAGCAATGATGATATTACGATGCCATTGGCTTAATTCAAATATTGTCACTTCCAGTTCAAATTTATATTGATTTATGAATAAAAAAATTTCTTTGTCATTAGATGAATGCTTCAATAAAATTAGTAAAATAGTTGATAAAAAATTAAAATAAAATATTATTGTTGCTATAATCTTATGAACTATTGAATTATGTTATTACAATCATCTTCTCTAATATAAAATGATTTATTTTTCTGTCTCAATTATTGTTGAATAAAATGTTAATGAAAACGAAATATTAATTAGTTAATTATTCTTAATTTATCGATGAAACGTCACTAAACCGATTATAACATTATTAATTAAAACAATTCAATTTTGCAAATATGTGGTATAAAAAGAGAAAAATAATCATTAATAGTCAATTAATAATTAGTATATGGTGTTAGATAGTTTTATTTTCTTTAACTAGATTTAAATCATAGATTAGATGAATTTCATATTGTTTTTGTCTTTCTTTTTTTATGATAATTGATATCAAAAAAACAAAAAAGAAACATTGAAGCTACATCATGTGACAATGTTAAAGCAAGATCTGTCACTGTAATACTAAACAATTAATTGTTTCATCATTTTCATGACAAAAACTAGCTCATAGAATAAGCGGAAGTTTCTTTCTTCTTTTTCTTTTTTTTTTTCTTCTTTGGACTTGGAGGCAATCCTAAAAATGAGAATTGTGAATAACTAACCAAGATATAGAACTGATAATTTCTCTTTTTTCTCTACTTTTTTTTCTTTCATAGTGTCTGGCATTGAGAATACAAGTATATAAAGAAGAAAATAGTAGAGTAGACGATTGGCGACTACTTTTCGAATAATAACAATTTACATAATAATATAAAATATAATTTATTCAATAACAAATGAAACTCATATACAATAAAAGTTTTCTCTTATTCGTCATTATTATCGTAAGTAAAAATGAATTTATTTTTGATGTTCAAAAAAACTTTATTCAATTTTATATATGATACTTAAAACGAAAAATCACTTCGTCTTCGGTCTACTACTTTTCTATAGAGCATATATTTCTGTTTCATTATGTGAATTTTTCTATGAATAAACAATGTCTAATATCTTCTTTTGTGTTCTAAACTAGTTGTGCCATCAATGAATAATAGAACGACTAACATAACGGATGCTTTTATGCCACTTTCATTTCATCCTTTGTATTAGTTTCCGCACAAAAACAATATTAAATTGTTTATTGTCGTATATTTCTAATTTATTTGTCTTTAGATTGGCAGTCAACTATTATATGTTTGTACTGAACCTTCTACAATACAATCGAATAAAAATTCTCTGGATTTAAACAAACAATATCATCTTAATAAAAAAGAATCATCAACATCAAATGAAAATAAAAATTCAAATGATGATGACAATAATGAAAATAATGATGATCATTTACTATTAATTAACAAACGGTATCGTTTTGATAAGCGTTATCGTTTTGACAAAAAACATTTGGATATGGATAGAATTAACAAACGATATCGTTTTGATAAACGTTATCGATTTGATTAAAATATAAAAAAAAATCGACACAAAAGAAAAATCACAGAGACACATTGTGAAGAAAAAAAAAGGATGTTCAAAATAATATCAAAAAAAAAAAGTCATTTCATTTTTTTTCTGTTTGTTTGTAACATCCATATTAAAAAATATTTTTTTTTCCATTTAAAAATAATATACATGATTCTCAATTTTTTTTCTTCTCTCCTTTCAATATCAATCATTTTGATAAAAACTAGACGATTATACAAGATTGATTTTCTTAGAAATATTAAATTAGACTTCATGTTCAGTGAATTTAGGTTGTGGTGGATATTTTTCATGTTGTGAAATTGGAGGCAATGATGTAAATTCATTACGATTATTGTTTACAGACATTGGTGGTGATAAAGTTTGAGAATCATTTGGAACGGATGTAAATTGATGTGTTGCATAGTGTTGTTCATTTTCAGGAGATGACATTAAACTAATACAAGTTTCTTTTTCATTATAATGATGTTTAATTTGACATGTAGTTAGTAATAATATTCCATCAATAATTGATAAACCAAAAGCAATCCATGCTATTATAGTTGAATAACCAATACGAACATTAATAGTTGATAAAAATCGATCAATAGCAATTTTTGTATCTTCAGATAATTTATAAATTTGAGTTGATTTATAATGTTTTTCAATATCTAATAAATATGCAATTGATTCATATTCAAGATGTTTATATATAATTATTAAATTAATTGTTAAAAGAACAATTGATAATAATGATGATAATATACCAAAATATTTTATTTTAAGACGATAATGTACATTAGTAAAAAATGGAAATAAAATAAATAATAAACAAGTGAGAAGTAAACATATTAATGCTAATATTCCAATTATTTGACAAACTAAAACATAAGGTGGATAATGACAATCACAGGACATTTTTGAATCAACATTTATAGGTGAAGTTGATATATCAAACGTTGCATGAAGATAATCATTATTAATATCAAAATTTTTTACACTTGCTTTTGTACAAAATCGATAATATTGTAAACTATGACATTCATTAAAATAATTATCATTATATCTAGGTAAAAAATTTTTTGTACATTTATTTCGTTGTTTATTTACAACGAAATCATCTAAATCATTTTGATTATTATATATTGATGAATTATTTAAAACATATTCACATCGTTGAAATAAACCATAAGAATGACGACTATAACGATGTACACTATTAAAATAATGTAGAACTTCTTTACGTATAAGAGCATCTACACCATCAACATATAATGATTGTGTATTTGGAGCTATTTCTTTCCAATGTGGTGTAAAAAGTGCAATAGATTGAAGTATAATAGTGATTATTGTTAGAATAATACCAATAATGATACCACTAGATAATTTGTTTTTAATTGATTCTTGTTTTTTAGTTAATCTTTTATCAGGTATGGTTTTTTTAGTACTTTTTTCATGCATTAAAATGTTTATCATTCGTTTTTTAGACATTAATCTTCTTTATTTTATCAATAATTATCATTACATAATAAATATCATATTGATATATATAGATAAATGATATAAGTCTATAAAGAAAATAAAAATCAGTATCAATTTAAAATAAAAAAGAAAAAAAAATAATGTGAAGTACTCAATCATACATTTATTATTCTTTACGAAAGATAATATACAAAAGATGATGTCATTTTTAATTTTTGATATTTATCGTTATTAGAGCTCTTCTTAACATTATTTTACTATTGAATATTTTTAATAGAAGATTTGTCGTTTGTCGCAAATCAAATATCCATGTACAGTAATTACAGTTCGCTTTTATATTTGTCAGAAGAATGTTTTGTATATATATATACATACTTATGTCAAGATAGAATAGCAGTGAAGTGCAGTTGTAACATTGATATATGAAATTTTCATCGAACCTTAACTGTGTTGTTCTTTATTCTTACTATTCACGTTCTCTTTTTTTTTTTTAATGCAACTGGCTTATTATTATTTTCTTTCGTTTTGTGTCGATAAAACGAAAGAAAGAAAGAAAGAAAGAAAGAAAGAAGAGAGTTTTCGTTCTTATGTAAAAATAATCGACTGGATAAGAATGAATCATATTGTCATCATACAAGAGACAAATTTTACAAATTTAACTACACATATATAAAAAAAAAAAGAACGATGTATGGTTGACAATGACTACGTCCAAGGTCATCAATTTTAGTTTTTCTTTCTTAGCGTCTTACAGCTGGTGTACACTATTGTAAGACTGATTTTTTAGATTAAAATCATTGAAAATTTAAAAGAAAGAAAAACCATTAATCTTATGTTTGAGTATTAACAATCTATATCACTTTTGTCAAGTATTGATTACTTTATTAAGCTTTACTTTTTTTTTTTTTTTAAAATCATTTTGAGTTTATACGCATTCACATTAACCTATCGAGATGTCAAATACATTTATCGTTCATTCTTATATACATACATGATGTAATGATATTTCATTATTGACCTTATTTGATGAGGGAAAAAAAAGAGACTGTTCGACGGATTGACATTGATTTTGAGAAATAATGAATAGAAGATCGATACTGAATAAAAGTCAATTGGTACATTCGTATTTGGAGGGTAGTAAAACACATTAAGAATCAAGTGAGTCTAAAGAGGACTATTGAAAATTTAAAGATATGATTCATTATAACGAACAAGAAAAACAAAAACTCTTTGATGAATTCATCAAAAAAGCAGGAAATAAATATCAATATTTAATAAATCTCTTCACAACTTATTTTAATTGGAAAAAAAAAGCATAAATAAAAACTTATTTTGATCTTATACAATTTACATCTTATGTCAATAAAATAAATTTTATGATGAAATATTATTTCTTTAAATAACAATTGATTGGGATAAATATTGATTAACGTGTCTTTTCACAAGGTTCCATGTTTTCAATATATAAAGTAAACATTACTACAAAACTTGACTATTTTTTCGATATTAAATGTTAATAAAACCAAGCAAACATTCAATATGATAAGACAGTATTATTTTCGATAAATGTACTGATAACCAAAAATAATACTTAACAATAGTCTTACATTTTAAAAATAATATTTATAATGATTCAACTACTTCAACTTACAAAAGAAAAATAATCTATTGTTGAGTAAATATTCTCTTCTGTGAAGTATAACGTTATTAAGTTTACATCATTTACAGCAAATACTTCAAAATCAACTGATCATTATACACTATTTTATTTGAAAATAAAATACTCAATATAAAAAAAAGTTATTTATTTTAACTAACTAATGTTTAAATAAGTGACAAAAAGTTTATACATTTTTCAATAAATCAACTATAAAATAAATTAGTTAATAAATTTTTATTGAAAATCTATGAAATATTATTAAAAACAGAATACTAAAGATTTATAATAATTAATTTTTGGTAATATTCGATAAATCTACACATTTAAACAATAATAATTAATGATTAAAATTAAAAATAAAATAATGAATTTTCGAAATATATATATTTTTTTAAATAGAATTTTAATCTATTGCAAATCAAATGAATGAATTCTTTATATCGTATTGTATACAATATTTAGAACGTTCTTTCGTTTCTGTAAGATTATTATTCATCGTACGCGATGTGCGTTCTTAAAAGATATGTTTGAATGTATATAACAATATCATTTTCTTCTCTTCACTTCACTTCTACACTATATTTGCTAAATCATCGATAATAATGCAACGAATGGCCACTTCACTCGAACAACGTATGCCAAATTGGGTTATAGAAGTATAAAATCTATGAATAATTTAATATGAATATTGATTATTAGTTTTTTTTTTTTGCTAGCATAAATTAACAAAAGAACAAATAATAGCAAATATTAGTTCATGGCTTACGAAACATTGCATAAAAATTGCTGTTTTTTCACGTACAAATTTATTATTGAAATATTTCCTGTTTTTTTTTGAAGTTTTTTTTTTTTTTTAATTTTCTCTGAAGTTAGTAATAATCTTCTTTATTCATGGAGAGATGCTTATTATAGTACAAATATTCCACATATTGAACATGTTATACAAGTATTTACTCGTTTACATCGAGAAATATATTTATTAGATCATCTAATTGATATTCTTGTAAGTAATAATTTTATTTCAAAGTTTTATACAATGTGACTATTTCAAAATAATAGATATCTGAATTTCATTCATTATATACATATAATTATGCTGTACTATGGCTTAATACAGATTTAACAAGACGTGAAGTTCGTGTTTCATGGCGTTGTTCAATTGTTAATTGGCTAATTGGTATTCAAGTAAAGCAAAGAAAAAAAAACACGCATATATAAGGATATCTTGTTGATTGTTCTTTATAAATTTCCCTTTAGCGTAAAAATAATATGAAAGTTGAAGTAACTCAACATGCTGTTCGATTAATCGATGGTATTGATACATTACAAGGTCATAACGAACGAACATATCAATTAAGATCAATGGCTTTTTTTATTCTTGCTGCTAAATTTCATAATCGTAGTCGTATTAGAGTATGTGTTTAAAACTTTATATTGTAAATAAAGTTTCTTTTATATATATATATATACTAAGATGGAAGAATTTTCACGTTACTCAGCAAATGCATTTGAACCACGTGAAATTAGTGATTGTGTGCGTACAGTCTATCATGAATTAAATTTTGAAGTTCAGCTACCTCTGGCATTTGATTTTCTCGAATTATATCTTGAATTAAATTCTAATGAAACTTTTCAATTAAATATTTCCAAGGTTTGTTTTTTTTTCTTTTATTAATAAAGAAACCAAAAAAAAGAAAAATTTAAATTTATTCAAGATTCGTGCATTAGCAAATTTATTTATTCATGTTGCTTGTATACAATCATGGTCAAGTTGTTTTAATGCATCATTATTAGCTAGTTCTGTTCTTATACTTTGTTTAAAATTTTTACATGATAAAAATTCTATTTCACAATTATGTTCAATTATTTGTTTATTTGATTATTCACTTGAACTTATTCTTGGTCTTGCTGGTTATATTGCATTAATTATTAGTGATATGCCAGATATACCAACAGATCGATCAAATTATTATTTTGTAAGTTAGATTATTTTAATAATTTTTATTTAAAAACAAAAAAAAAAAGAAGATTTCTTTTTAATTAGTATGCACATAAAATGTATAATGATGAATTTCGTCATAAGATTGATGATAATTTTAAATTTGATCGTGTTAAAAAATTTTGTCGAATATTTGTTCAAATATCTGATATTAATCGACAAATTTCATATGGAATGCATAATCTTGTACTTAATCAATTACATATTTTTGAAAAAACATATCCACATAATTATAATCCATTATTATGTATAAATAATAATGAAAATCGATCAAGTAATATTAATGAAAAATATCGATCAATACAATTTATAATACGAGTTGTATTAGCAGCAAAACGTTTTTCAAAACGTATTTTAGAAAGACAAAGAATAATTCAACAATTAAAAACAACATCATTAATTTGATTGAAAATATTTAAAAAAAAAAACGTATTCTTTGTTTTTGTTTTTATTTCATATTTAGAATATATTTGTTTTACAGTGATTTAATAAGATGATTTTATTTTAAAAAACAAATACACAGAAAAATCGACCTATAGTATATTTTGAAGGAAAAAAAATAATCATTGTATAGTCTGAAATAGTATCTTTTAGAATTGAAAAATTGTCTTTAAACACTAAAGAATTCAAGAAGACATCAAATTAGCGAAAACTGTAATACATTGTTTCACATTTTTCTCTGAAACTTTTTCACATATACTGTACACTGTTGGAGATGAATGTTTTTTTTTTGTTTCAAAAAATATTGTTCCGCTGATTTTTGGTAGCTCTTACAAAAAAAAAAACTCGGTTCAAAAAAACAACATGAGTTAGTTTAGAATACTTTCGATATTTTGGCTTTTTTATTCAAACAACATAAGATATTCACTACAAACAGTGTCTAGTGCCTGTAAAAAAATTTCAGCTCAAGTTAATATACCATCTCAGTAGTAGATGTCGGACTTTTGAAAAGTATCCACCATAGAGGAATATTTTGACACCAAATAGAGTCTGTTCGGTTAGTTTTCGGTATGGAAAAAGTTTTACCAACTTAGCTCTAGTTCGAAAACTTCAATCAATTGGATCTAGAAAAGTTTCATCAACAGATTCGAATTTAAAATTTTTGAACGCGACGAACTCTACTATCAATTATAGATCGATTCAATTTGAGCAAAAACCAATCCATCGGATCACTAAATATCCAGTATACGAGCTTTTATTGTACTTAAAGATTTAAATAAACATTATAAAACTTTTTTTTTGTTTAGTTTCTGTTTTATTGAAATCTATACAAAATGACAAAGAAATTAACAAAAAAACGTTCCTATTGCTGTCTTTCTTCATGTAATAAAGTCATAATAAATATGTCAAATTTTTATAAAGTTGATATTTCAAAATAATTATCGAAATTAATCGGATGTTATTTAATTTCTTTTGATCCTTCAATTCGTTCATTTGAATCATCATCTATAAGTATATCATCACTATGTTCTCGACGTTTTTGTACAGTGACTTATAATTGTAAATCGTTACAAGTAGATGTATTTCAATCGATCTAAAAGATTTTGTTGTATAGAAATAAAATAAAATTTTCAATTTTACGTTGAAATTTTTGGACTGATCAAGTTGAGTACTAAATCGAACTTCACTAAGTCGTCCAACGATTGGTGTCATTGTACTACGAATAACTGATCAACCACAAAGATTTTTGCTAATGTACAGGCTGTTGTCAATTTAAAATAAGCAATTTAAAAAGGACGAACTATTCCTTTAAAGAAAAAAAAATGATGATTTAGTATATTTGCTTGATTAATAAAAAATCTTTGAACTTCCTCAATATACTATTGAAATTCAATTAAATGAGATTTATATTAAATTTTAACACTGAAACATATAAGATCATCTTAAAATAATTTCTCTAGACTTTATCTTTTGTTTTTGTTTATCGAAACTTGGAAGCAGAAATTCGATGATCAGATTATTCCAGTTTCGGTTGAAATCGACAGTAACTAGACAGAGGCAACCACTAGATTCTTGCTTTCAAAGTTTTACTGTTTTCCAAAGTTTTCTGGCCGGAAAATCATGGATTCGAAATTTTAGTGATCAAACGATAGATACAACTTTTATAGAGTCAAAAAAATAAAGAATAACTTATACTGATGCACCTCGATGTTATCATGTAGATCGGAATCGGCTGGAGAAAATCCTAATGATTCTAACGCTGTTCTGATTGATTCCTAATTTTAACCATGTTAGTATACTATCTATCATTTGTCGACTTAGAGAGACATTAAACTTCGTCTATTTCTTTTTCACTTGTTTAATAACTATTATTGTATTACCCTTCTAAGTTAAGCATTGACCCGTTTTGCGAAAAAATTTTTTCGATTAATTCGATCAATAGAAACATTTAAGAATATTTAAAATAACACACATATTCTTTATTTAGAATTTCGACCATCTGAAAAATTTGATTTTGTCATTTATTTAAAGCTTTATCTATGTTTTTTGCTCGTATAGTTCAAATGTATTTTGTATATCTGTCACCAGTTAAATCCCTACAGTAACATGTGAAGGAAGAATTTTCTATTCCAGCCAGTACAGGTTTATCTAAATAATGCTAGCATCAACATGAGTCTCACTATTGTCGTACTGTATTTTATCAATTGAAATTATCTTTAAAAAAAATTGATAAAATACGACATAGTTATGTTGTGAAGACTTGTTCATCATAGATCTGTTGTCCTATGAAAGCGTTCTTTTTTGATTATAAATTTCTCTAGTTTACATATATGATGAAGAGATTTCAAAGATCATAGAAGAAGGGGAAAAAACAATTTTTGTTGAATATGTATTATTGCTGCTGCATCAAAGAGTATAGAAATGTATAATATACTTTGATTTTAGACAGATAATATGATGAAAGTTAATTAAATGATGACATAAATGCCACCCTATCAACATTTGTATAAGATTGAAGAATATCAAACAATTATAAGATAAAATTTTTCTTTCAAACAATATGACTTCTTTATTTTGATTCTACTTAATGTATTATAGAGACATATTTTGATCCTACTTGATGTATTATAGTGACATATTTTGATTCTACTTGATGTATTATAGAGACATGTTTTGAGTCTACTTGATGTATTATAGGGAGATATTTTGATTCTAGAAGAATCTTGTCCTACTCTTTTGGTAATAATTAATGAAATCTCTTGTCACGACACAAGTTTGTTTTATTACGTATAAGACATAAGCAAACATAGGTCATAATTATCCATCTTTTTCTCTTTCACATGCCTTAAACAGATATTTCTGGTGTGTCTATATAGCACATTCACTTGATATAGAGCAAGAACAAGATGAAAACATAATTCACTTTTATTACTAGCATACATTTTATGATATCAATGATCTTCCTGTTTTTCTTTGTCGTCATTGAGAATAAAAACATAAGTATATGAACATACATTTTTATCACTCATATTGCTTATCCTGATAGCAACCATTTGGTTTTATTATTATATCTTATTCTATCATCAACTTGTCAATCAAAGTAAATAAGACAAGTTTCTTTTTTTTTTTTTTTATAAGACACTAGGCAAGGAGAAAAAACATTTTTCTTTAGTATTTCTTATTCTTTTATTTCTGTCTATAGATTACATTGTCTTATTTAACCTTTACTTGTTTTTCTAATTAACAAACATGACGATTTGTTATGATATTTTTTTATTTTTATAATTGGATCTTGCAGAGATATCAATCGACATTAAAAGAAGAAGAATCAGTTGACTTTATAGAGGATGTTTTTATCACTAAATAGCTTGATAAAACCAAAGTCAATTTCTAATATAACTTTGACACATTCATATAACTAATTTGTCATCAAAAACGATAATAAAAAGAAATCTAACGAAGAAAAAAAAAATACTACTTTTTCTTATTTGGAAAAAGAATCAATTAACATAACTAAATAATAGACTTACAAGAACAGTCCACATATACACATACACACAGCCGGATAGAAGATAACCATTTATTGTCGTTTTCCTTTCTCTACATTACTCTATCACATATATGAAGCTACTTTCTATTGCATTTTTCCTTATGTAATTATCGGTTTCAAATGGCGCACTAGAAAAGAAACAAGTGAGTTAAAGAGCGATATCTATATTTATTTATTTATCAGTTTGAAAATAGAAATATCAATTAACATGAAAATAGATTAATTTCTATTTCATGACATTCTTTATAGAATATTGTGAATATTAAATTCTCCATAAATAAAAACATTTATCAGTATTATTTCTCTTATTAGAATTTAATTATTTTCCGAAAATTTTATAATTCTATTTGAAAAAAAAAAGTTATTTGAAAATAAGATAATCATAGAAATATATATATACAAGTGATGAATTTAGTTGAAAATTTATTGCATGAAATAGAAATAATTTATATTTCCTAAGAAAATTCAATATAAGAATTAAGTGAAATAATATTTATATAATAATGATTTAGGTCGTTTATAAAGATATTTTTAATTAACATATTTTAGTAACAGTAAGTTCTTGACAAAAATAAAGTATTATTTTATATAAGGTTGGATTTGTTGCTCGTTCAGATTTTATAGACTAAGTAAATTTAATAAATCGAAAAAAACAAGTTCAAAAATTGATTGTTGTAAAAAATCAAAATATTGAATTTCAGCACGATTTTCTGAAACTCATAAATATGACAAATAATATAATTTATTGATTCATCATACACTAATCAATACAAAATATAGAACCTCTCATTTCTCTACCGATATATTTTTTAAGGCGGCCGACTTATTGCTTTTCAATGGCTTAGTTGTAAAGCGAATTCTTCTTCCATTTGAGGCATTAGTCACGAATGAAGTCAACAGCTCGTTCCCCACATCTAATCATCATTTCAAATTACGAATAGGTTTGCCGAGATCATAAGAATGTCATAAGTGCAAATCTGAAATCTGTTTTCCAAGACTTAACTTCATTCAGGATAAGCGAATACTAGGAAAAAATCTTGACATGACTTATATAGATAAGATATAAAGAACGATGATAAACAGCTGAGAGTTTTCGTTATATGGCAATACATGATTAGATTCCTAATCAGTCAGCCTTCATTCATCTGACTCAAGATAGGTGATTGTCATTTAAAATTCATTATTCTTTTCTCTACGTAAGCTAAAAAGTAGATCTAGCAGATGTCGTGTATGATCATGTACAAATGTTCAGAAATTTGTACAATTAGCCGTCTTATCTACTCGAGTGGTAGTTAAGTTTTTATTTGGTATTGATATAGAATGTTCTATATCATATTATTCATATTGATCAGCTTTATAAATGATCTTATTATCTCTATCTGACAAAACACAATTATCAATTTCACTATTAAATGTCCATTCAACACATGTATCATCATGTACTTGATCACGGACACTCATATTTGCACTATAAGCATCAAAAGCATAAGATTTATCACGAAATAAAATACGATTTTGTACATAATTTGTGATTATTTTAATATTCCATAGAAATAAATTATAGAAATTTATTATCCAATACCACCCTTGAAAAAACCAGAACTCTAATTTTGTAGAATTAAGAAAATTTATTCTGAGATTCTATTTGAGAAAATTGGCAATTGTACAGTCTATACGTAAGAATTGAACTTTGAGTTTATGGACGAATATTTTCAGTAACCTTTGTCACAATTTTTTTATATGTTTTTATCATGTGCTTCCGTCTCTTTTCTTCAAACCAATCTGATTAACTCTCAACAGATAAAAACCTGTTGAGTCAAAGCATTCTTCAACCTTGATCCGGACTATACTCTTCATATTCTTAATGAAGTTTTTTATTCTAACCCTAGTAGTCACTCCGAAGGTGTGACATACTTTGTTTTTGATTATTTCTATTCAATGATTACCTTATACAAATGTCAGACAACCTTGACGATGATCTAATAAGAATCAAATTATAATTGGTTCTTGCTTTTAGACTAACACCCGCAGGATTGTTCTCGTACCCAATAGACTCTACTACAAGTACATTTACATCTGATTTTTTTACGAAGTTAATCATCCTAATAGACAGATGATATTTGTACAAACATAATTGATTTGACATTGCTTACCATTAGGAAAAAATGGTAGACATTTATCACATGAAGTTTTCTCTTTTAGTTACTTTGTCATTCTGATCAAATATATAATAATAAAATTTTTGATAATAAATAACATAAGAAATAAACTTGTACCTAAAATAATCAATTATTATTTTAGATAGAACAAAAATTATAAAATAGAATAATCAAGAATAAATAAATTCGATCGCATTATATAAACTTCAGATAGATGCGAAATTCTGATCATTTTTTGTCTCAGACCAAAAGTTATACAAGACTTTCGATCCGGACTTAAATTACTCTTATTAATTTTTCTAAAAATCAAAAATCCTATAAAAAGTTGTTACACTTCTTAGCATGCCTATCGACATGCATTTTCAATAAAACGTAGTGCTCAGTAGGACGACATCATGTTGAGTAGTGTGCATTGATTCTATTAGAAATAGTGTGGTATTTTGAGATAATTATTACTTGTATATATAATAAGTACCAACATAAAAAGCAGAGTGCTCAATAGGACTACTAAGTGACATTCTTGTAATTCATTTTTAACAAATCAATGTTTCTTTATAAATATTGCCAATTTTTCGATACAATCTCACTGAACAGAACCCTAGAACAGTACTTTAATCTAAATGCGTGCTGCTGATAAATACTTTTTAATGAAAATGAATACTGCTAAAAACTGTGTTGTCTTGCTGAGCACTGTATATATCATCCTGCTGTGCACTATGTAGTCTTACTGAATACGATGTCATCCTACTGAGCACTTCGTTTTAATGAAAATGTGTACTACTAAACAGTATGATGTGTACAAAGTATTCATATAAATAAAGCTTTTTTTTTTAAGGATTAATGGGAGGAATTTGGGTGCGATCCAAAATTTTGACCTTCCAATTCAATCAAATAAAAAAATCTATTCTTTTTCTTTATATACAATTCACTCTTATATATCTACAGTATGTGTTGAGTATATTCAAATCAATCTTTTTAACCCATATGATATAAATAAGATTCTCTGACGTAATAAATATCCTTGATTAATAAATTGTTTTTTTTTTGTCATGATAAAACGATACCGCGTGTGCAATGATATAGATTAATAGCAGATAATTGAATTATGGTTTTTCTTTACAAAAAATAAAAAAGGAGATAATATATCGTCCTTTAAACTTTTTTCTTTCTAGTTAATTAACAATGCCGAAGAAGTTTAGCATTCGTGAATGGGTTTTGTCTGTTAAGTATGTATTCTAATCTTTAATTATCTTTTCTTTTTTTTTTATAATATGTATCTATTTAGATACTGGTCATTACTTTTCATTCCTCATATAGCAATCTGTCTAATTTTTTTAATCTATATTCTAATCGGTGCTAGTATTATTCAAGAAATTGAAACAGATTACCAAGAAACTTCTTCATCAACAAAAGCTCTTCTACGAGAGCAGCTTATATCAAACATAGTCGAAAAAAGACAAACATTTGATATAGAACAATATACAAAATATGTTTCTGAACATATTAGTCTATATGAGGAAGAAATTAAAAACAAACGAAACGATTTCGAAGAAAATCTATCATGGAATTTTTCGAAATTTTTATTTTTTATTGTAACAACATTAACAACTATAGGTAAGAATGATAGAAATGGTCTTTTTTTTTTTTTCATCTAAATAGTTGATTTGTGATTGTTTTTTCCTAATTTATTTTCAAAGGTTCAAATGAATTTATACCACAAACAAAACTAGGAAAATTATTTCTAATAATTTATACAGGATTTGGCATTCCATTAACACTAGTTTTCTTAATTAATTTAAGTTATTTAATAAAACGAATAATTAAACATATTTCGTTAATTATTTTTCATTTTTATACATCAAGAAATTTTCTTCATATTCGTCGATTATTTGTTTTTCGTCCTATTGATAAACAATTAAATATTTTATTTGAAGAAAATATAGAAGAAGAAGATTTGAATTTATTAAAATCTTCTTCAACAATTCAACAATATATTAATAATATATTAAATATATTGAAAAATATTAATGATGATAATGATTTAACATTAAAACAATTAATATTAACAATTTTTATTTATATTCTTATTGGTACTTATTTTATACCATCAAATTCTTTATTTGATAGTTTTTATTTATGTTTTACAACTATATTTACAATTAATTTGAATAATATAATTAATCAAGAAAATAATTTATTTTTTATAATTATTTATTTAATTATTGGTCTTGCAATTGTATTATTATCTGTAAAAACTATAAAAATAAGACTAGAAAATTTATTAGTAAACATTGGAAAGATATTGTTCAAAAATCTTTTAGAATTTAGTCAACAAATAGGTAAAGATTATAAAAGTTATTTCATAAAAAAAAAAAAATTTTTTTTTTTTTCAAACTTTCATTATAATAGGTTCTCATGATTTAAATACCGATGATTTCTTAGCAGATAACGATATTAAATCTAATCCTGTATCGGAACATGTTTTTTCTCAACATCGATATATAACAAATATTACATCATTACAACCATCATCGGCAAATCGTCCTATTTGTATAGCAGAACCATTACGTCGTCTTTCAACTGATTTTATTCGAGTACTCAAGAATAACGATAGTAATGATGAAAAAAATTTACATAAAAGTGTACAAGTTAATACCATGATTCGACGATGTGATCGTTGTGCTGAATCACCTCTATCAAGTTTACCACTTAGAAAAAATAGTCTTTTTTCAACTTCATCATCTTCAATGACTGATAATAGTTCAAGTTGTGAAGATGATGATTCCATGGAATTTCCACCACCTAATTTAGATCAAATACGTAAAAGACGTGCAACACTTGTAGCAAAAACAATTATTAATCAAATGGCTACACAACCACGATTATCATCAATTGATGAATCTGTATCACCATCAGGATTAACACCAAAGCAACGTCATCGTTCACCTATTTTACAACCGGTTTCAGTTCGATGTTCAGTAAAAGTATCACGATCACCTTCAGTTGAATCTACATGTAAATGTGAAAATAATCAAAAAGAATTTACTGAAATTTCTAAACAAATTTCGTCATTATTAATATCACATGATGATTGAAAATTAAATTCTTAAAATTTAGTTGTTACTTCATCATGAAGTTAAAAATAAATAACAATGTTTTTCTTTTCTAATGCTTTTCTAGTCTGTACTTATCTTTTTTTTGTTTTGTCTGCTTATTACAAAAAAAAAAAGTATATGTTGACTACAAATTTCATGCATTGATTATTTTGAAAATATGGAGATCTTAGGTAGCAATGGTCATTAAATTATTTCTACATCTAACTTAGTAAAGTTCGAGATACATTACTGAATAAAATAATTATGACTATGCCAGTAATAGAATTGATAGTATAAAAATTAAAATTTTTATTGTCATGTGATTCAGTTGTTAGTCAAAAATCATTTGAACATAATAACTAGAGATGTGCGGAACCAAGTTTTTTTTTTGGTTCCGGTTCCCGGTGTAGAGAAAATTATTCCAGAATTTATTCATATCACATCTAAAAAACTTCTTCAACACTCGGTTTTTTTTTATTTATTCAGTCGATGACTAGCATTTTTTTGGTCATCTCACTTGAACACTGTTCTGATTGATACGATTTTTGAAGATAATTTGCTTAAACCATAGAATATTTATTTGTAATCGTCAGTTCTAGTTGAGACAACTTTTTTGTGGTTCGGTCCCGATCTAGTTCCAGTAAATCTCCAAATTTTAGTCTCGCACATTTTTAATCATAAAATATTATGATTGAAATCATTCGAATAATATGGGGTATTCGATTTCTACTAGATCTTTTCTATTCTTTGCTTTAATCACTTTTGTTACTCTATTGTTTCTCATCAAACATTTTCATCCAACAACAATTTCAAAATATTTTTTCAACACTAGATCTATCCATGTGACCAAAATTGCACGAAAATCGATGATCTATTAGAGTAATTAATCGTGAGATAATATCGCGATTAAATCACTTTCAAAGTTCTTCCCCATATAAAACCAAGAAAAAAAAAATTATAAATTCTTATTGTTGAAGTTTGTTGCAATGTCGCCAACTAATCCTGATTTATATGCGAAAAATCACTTATCAATCGCGATTAATCATCAAAACTGAGTGAAGTTTGACGACATAGGTAGGTATAAATGATTTTCAAATATCTAATCAATCACAAAGGATGATCTTACGTTCGTTATTCTTTGCAAGTAGGTATAAAATAATAGGATTTTTAGTTTTTCTATTAGTTACATTCGATTCACATTTGATTCTCTTTTTGATAACAGCAAAAAAAAAGAATCAATAGAAAAATCAATATTTATCATAAATATTAATCAGGTATATACGACAAAAAGAATCTGTTTATTTCGAATGTGTTGTTACAAGTTATTCTATAAAATGACATGAAAATCATTAACTTTATAATAAATAATATCGGAAACTGAATTTGGATATATATGCTTATTTTCGATATTTTGTTCAGAAAACAAGATGATTATAGAGATAGCTTTATAAGTTCGATACTTTTTTTTGTGTATCAATATCAAAATTGACCAAAAAAAAAAGAAAAACAATCTATAGTCTGTTTCTATTTTTGGATGTATAATCATTTCATTTTTGAGTTATCACAAATTTGAAGAAGTTGTTTTTCAACAATGAAACATCATTTGAATTAAATAAATATCAATGAATTATGGAAGAAAATGAAAAAGTACTATCAAAATTTATCAATAACCTTTCCATTAAGACGAGCATATTATTCGTTTATCAACAGTTTTTCTTCGATTTCAAAAATAATCCTTCCCAGATTAACAAATATGATGCTTCAATAGCCGTATTACGGGCTGGTACAGTGTTTTATACGGCTGTCGTTGACGCCAGATATCTGCGCTGTCTGAGAAAAATATCATGATGAATAATCGATAATTCTTGATCAGTTCGATCAAGTAATTATGATATAATTACAGATATTCATATTGCAAAAATGACTATATAAAGTTAATGTATTTTAGTTGTGAAGTAGCTCTTCAATCACGAAGAAAACCTACTTACGATGTATTTACGATAACTTATGGCAAGAATATGACTACAGATAATAAGTTTATATTAGATGCAAATACACCATGTACAACCGTCAGAATGTTGTAATTTAACCGTATACAATCAAACGACCAATGCAACTGTGTAGATACGGTGGAAATATTGTAGGTTTACGGTTCGTATGCAATGATTGTAACAAAGTATCATTGTTTGATGGTCTTTCACTATAAGATATCAAAGATAATAAATTTTCTTTCCCACTACAATCCCTTTACGTCATTTAAATATTACAAAATAACAATCTCTTCTTATCAATGTAATACCAAGCATGCTTCACATACAGATGACACTAGTGTACAAATATTGTATAAAATTAATAATCAATATTCTTGTATAAAAATCAAATTGCGCAATTTTCTCGAAAGAAAAATCCTTAATGATGAATAATATATAGCCTTATTTCCATTATTTACGAAATAAAATTTTTTACGTAAACTAGCCAATAAACACAAGGAAGAAATTTCGTAAAAAATGGCTATTTAGTTTAATAGAAGAGAATAAAGGTGTTAATTTGTTTTTTTTTATCGAACAGAAGGATTTTATCACTACAAATCAATATTGACATTATTAAATATTCGAAAGTTTGATTTGCGTTTCAGATTTAAAGAAAAAAACTACAACAATGGTTTTCATGAAGCCTGAAAGTGCTCTACGACGAGCAGATGGTAAATTAATTTTATTTATATTTCAATGATTAATATCTATTTTTGTTTTATCATTAAAAAAATTTAGAATTAATTGATGTTGGTAGAAAACAACGTGCTTTGGAAACACTTTTTGAAGTTATAACATCACGTCGTCATCGAACATGGACGAAAACACATGAACCATTAATGGAAAAATTTTTGGATTTATGTGTTGAATTAAAAAAAAGTCAATTGGCTAAAGATGGTCTTCATCAATATAAAACAATTTCACAAACGGTTAGAATTTAATTAAGAAAAAAAAAAAAGAACACAAATTCATTTTAATTATCATTAGGTATCAGTTAAATCACTTGAAGATGTTATTATGAAATTTCTCAAACAAGGTGAACAACGATGTTTAAATGCTCGAAAAGAAGCTACAAATGCTCTTGTAGATATTGATGATTTGGAAGTTCTACAAACACCGGAAAGGTATTAAAAAATGAATATATTCTTATTTACATTATTTCTTATTGAAAATAACCTCTGTTGCAAAAGTCTTTAGACAAAATGTTCGTTCGTTTTCCGATCACTTAAAAGCAACTAGTGCGAGTCAAAAGCAGTTAGTAAGACTCAGAATTTTGTGCTCTTTCCGAATATGGACTCAGAAATGTTGTGTCTGTTTTTGTTCGAGAGTAGTGAGGAAATGTTTGAAAGGCCTGAAAAATTAGTTTGGACGGAACGGGTGTGCCGAAGTTTCTGGACACAATGTTTGTTCTTTTTTGGCATGCTTGAAAGTATTTTAGACGAGTGAAAAACTATAGGTTATTACCAGAATCTTATGCTCTTTCCGAATATGCACTCAGAAATTGGATGTCTGTTTTTGTTTGGGAGAAGTGAAGGAATCTTTGAAAGGTCTAAAAATTGGTTTGGACGACGAATAAACAGGGTTTTTGCTAACTCCCATAAATCCCTTTGGGAAGGTGCTAAAAATTGTCGGAGTCGGTGATTTTGTAGAGCGAACACGTCTTTACAAAACGTGATATCGCACTAAGCTCTAGCTTGAACCTATAAGCATATTCTCAAGAACTACTTTCTACGTAAAACGCGCTTTCGTCAAAAAGTCGATTTTCCAAAATGAGGGTGATACAGAAAAACGAAAATTTAGGTACCTTATTGGAAGATAAAAAGAAAGTCAAATAGTGCGTTTTGTAGGGTAAATTTTGCTCTACAAGCTAATCTATCAACAAAAATTTCAACTTTTAGTTTCGGATCCCAATAGTGAAAATGTACGAAAAACTTTTCCGTCCAAACTAATTTTTTAGGTCTTTCAAAGATGTCCTCACTACTCTCGAACAAAAACAGACACAAAATTTCTGAGTCCATTTTCGGAAAGAGCACAACATTCTGAGTCTTACTAACTGCTTTTGACTCCCACTAATTGCTTTTAAGTGATCGGAAAACGAACGAACATTTTGTCTAAAGACTTTTGCAACAGAGGTTAGTATATATTGTTTAAAGATGTTCTAACCTAACGATAGATTTTGAGTAAAGACTTATTTGCAGCATTTAGAATACTCAAAATAAATTTTCTAGTCACGTTCTATAAGAACGATTTTTTTCAATTGTCATAAAAATTTCGGAATCTCTATTTCTGTTTTATATTTTATGTTTGAGAAAAAATATCATTGTCATATACAAACTTCACGTACTATTACATTTTACACAGTTTGATATAAGTTCAAATAATAATAAAATTAGAATTGGAAATATAGATAAGTAATTATGTCAAAATAGAAAACTTCTAGACGAACTTATCTTAATGTATATGAACATAAGACAAACTCTTTTCCGGAACGTTAATTTTTAATATCATTCTCATTACTGAGAGTAACAGAGTGCAAATAAGCGTTCCTATAGGACACTATTTTCTATATTTAGATTCGAACTAGAGGTGTAACTAAATCGGTTGGGAAATTTTATTGATATGTCATTTTTCACTAATAAAACGTGTCGAAAGAAAATTTTGAGTACCCTTATTAAAATAATCAAATAGTTTTATTGATTTAATCGAAGTTTATTTTATTGATGTTTCTTGAGAAATTAGACTTAAGTTTAGACCATCATTCGAATAGAAGCATTAGGTTTGTCTGCAAAATTTGAGCGAAAAGTTCAAGATTTCATGTGTAGCGGTCGAGTGATGAAAGCATTCTTGTTAATCGATTGAAAATAACCCAACAAACGATTGATACGCTTTACTTCAAATAAAGTATTAAATGATGTAATAATCTCGAGTCAATTAGATTCCTCTTCCATGTGTATATGTACCGATTGCTAG